AGTATTCACAAAATGTATTTATAAAACATTGATATTTTTGTAAAATAATGCTCAATCAAATCTATATATTTTTTTGATTTTTCATTAATAATATATGCACATCTACAGTTGTCAGTGCTGTTGCATTGTGAAATGACAGATTTTCTTCGTAAATTTCCAGTTCATAAAACTCAGTAATTGTGCAAGGGTCCCAGAAAAAAAAGCATCCCAGATAGTTTTAGTTTGGCTGTTCTATTTAGACTGTCTCTGTTTTATGACCACAACTATTTCATATTTTTGGCTTACAAAAACTTTGATCTTTATACTCCATGAGTGTACCTGATGAAGGCTATTCCTCAAAAATAAACACTTTGACACAGAAATCATAGCATTTGGGTTTATTTAAAAAAAGAGAGGTGAAAGATACCAAAGGGACATTCAAACTCATAAGTGGAAAATAAACTTACAACGCCAAGGCTAAAAAAGAAAAAGACAAACAGACAAACAATTGTACACAAAACACAACATAGAAAACTAAAGACTGAGCAACACGAACCCCACCAAAAACTGGGGGTGATCTCAGGTTCTCAAGCTATTTAACTGAGAATTCTTGTCTTAGGAATACTCTACAATAGTGCTCTCAAAAAATAATAGTGGAAACTATTGGCAGTGATTTTGCTAGCGCTCGTCATTTTCGTCATTTACGAAACAGTTTTCAAAATGACGAAAGTATTTGAAATCAATTTCGTCACTTAAATTTGGACAGTGTAAAAATATTTGTGCATGAAAATACTATAATTCTACCTGTCTTCTTGTTTCTGACCCTCAGCTAATTAACGTTTACCACAAGTGTTAAAATTTGTGATTACAGGTAATCAGCTTATCACCATCAGATGGGTCACTTATCCGTTAATTGACCACTAGTATTGGTACCATTATTTTTTTTTTTTTTTTTTACTAGATTCTAATATTATTTCTTTTCTTTTTTTACAAGCTTACATAGCAATTTTGATATCTGATTTTCAATGTGCATTACAGGTCAAAGTTTCTTATTTTTTGCTTGCAGCATGCAATTTCAAGGTTCAAATAATCCATGTCATTTATAATCTGATAACTACATTAATTCCAAAACAAAAGGATTTAACAGCACACATATATTTCTTGTAAGAGTCATTTTTGCAAGTGTGAACTTGGCTGTAAAAGTATAAAGTCCTTTTTTAGTTGAAGCCAAATTTTGTGCTGAACATACAGTCTTTATCAAACCTGAAGTCTTTCAATTGTGGTTATGTGGAAAATTTTGATACCAAAAGACCTGTGACAAATTTACGTCTCTGCTGTAGAGCTTTTTAAAAATGTCTTCTTTGATGGTTTTTTTTAGCCAAACTGGCATGAAATTAGTATTTAAATAGTTTTTCCCAAGATTTATATATTAATAATGTGAAAATTATTTTTAAGTTATCAATAAAAGAATGTTTATTTATCAATGATGCCATTACTCATGTGACAGAATCTAAAATATATCTACACCGTACAGACATACTTTTTTACATGAAAGAAAATACAAAAAATATTAAAAATGGAAAAACATCTGGAGTTTCACAAAAATGATGATATTTTCCAAATTTATGCATTTCTCTCTTTTTATCAGTGTGATGGTTTTTTTTACGTTTCCACAGAATAATTCAACGAAAATACACACCACTATTATATTTGATACTGATATGATTCCAATTAAAATTGACCATGATTTCATAATATTGAATCCTGGTAATTTGGATGATGAATCTGAGCACACATGTGGCTTCCTTTATCTTAAATAGCCAAGGAATGCCATTTGAATTGTAACTAAACCCATCTGGCATCCTTATTATAAATGGATATTTCTGCCATGAGGGGTTTGGGGTGCAATACACAATGTATTAAAATCACTTCCAGATCTACTTTGCATCTCATTAAATGAGCAGTTATAGGAATGAGATAAATTTAACAATAACCTTCAAATAAATGTCACTTAGGTACAATTCTCAAAATACATTTTAAATAACCTTCATTACTTTTCATTAACCCTCTATCATCATCTACACACACACAGTAGCAGTGCATCTACATGTGTTTCAGCATGCAGGGCACTTAGGGGGTAATTGAACCTTGAAATATCAAGAGACTCTTATGAAGACTTGGAATATAGAGAAAATAAAACTCAGATCAAAATGATGATAATGCTCCTATCAATACATAATTGTTGAATCAATGGAAGAAAAATGGAATTATCCTAATGATCCCAAACATAATCCCACTGATAGCCTCCTAATGTAATAACATGGATCACACAATCTATGAAGTATGCCAAAATATATGTAATGCATAGCCTTATAAGTAAAGGAGCAGTCATGGGATGGCCTTCACTCCATATATGCTACCTCTCCACAATACAACTTCAAAATCTACAATGTAACTTGATCAAAGCTCTGAATACTAACAAAATACTATCTCTCTAATTCTTTATAAACCTCTTACTATACCCCTTGGATCATGGAGACTCTTGTCTAAGAATGAAGGATAGCTTTTAAATGTGGGAAAGTCACTGACACACTTGGCAAGTATATATTTGTATATATATAGCAAAGGAAACAAACCCGTGATCTGATAAATACTTTTCTCAGCATAGTAATGGTTGCATCATGGATGACCTTTGACACAATAATACTTGAAGATATCAGTTAGGGGTACTCCTAATTTGAAGGGGCTGAGTATAATCTGTGATCTCGAGACTGTTTATCTGCACTGGTGCTGTACATCTATAGGCATACACAGCACTGATGTATGACAATGCAACACTGTTATAAAATGTATACTTTCTATTGCTGTCTTGTGATCAGGGCATTTGTGCCAACTTTCTTTTACGCATTCAACTGATGCTAAGTCAACATAGCAGAGCTTACTTCTCAGTTCTTACTAAAGCAACTGCTTAGTAGACATAAAGCATATACCCTACACATGGACTTATCAAATTTAACTCTGGACTACAGACCGAACTAACTTGTAAGTACTGTGTGTGCCAAACATATATTTTACATTTTAAAACAAATCCCCTGTAGACCCTCTTTAAAAAACGCTTAATGTACAATATTTAGAGCATATAGTCAATTCATTACATGATAGATGGAGATTAAAATCCAGGAGCAATTGACCCCTGTTAAATTTCAGGGCCTGTGGATGTTTGATATCCCTTATCTAATCAAATTTTCAAGCTTTTTTCCATGGCCTTAGACAATCAATGCTTTATTCTAATTTGTCTGGTTTTACCAAAAAGAAAAAAAAACAAATTTATTCTTACAATTGAAATTGTTTTTAACTGACAAAAAGTTAACTATCTGGTTATCAAAAGTGTTTATTCAAGGCATTTCTTACAAGGTATTTCCATTCAAACCAAAATCTAGCATGATAATATTGTTCAAGATGTCATTTTGATACAGATCCAGCTAAAATAATGATAGTCATCTTACAATACAAAACTTGCTCAAGTAAATATCCTTTTCCAATGACTAAAATGAAGCATGAAAACCAATGAGAATTTTTCCCAGCATGACCTGTATGTATTACTATTTCAGGCAAAGACATTTTCAAGATAGCTTTACTGTAGTTGGTTGAACTTGGGCCAAATCAGTCAAATAAGGTCATTTGGTCCCCTTCAACCAGCTGTAGCCAGCAATTCTAACATCACGGTGATTAGTGTGCATGGTTTGGACAGAGTGGTGTGGTATTTTTTTAACCTTCATACCAAGGGAGTTAACTCCAGATTTGTTTTTTGCATGTTTATTTACAAATGTATTTTGATCAAAATATGATTTTTCTTAATAAAATTCCTCTATATCCATAAGCACAATTTAAATAAATGTGAAATGGGGAAAAGAATACCTTTGATCATATGATTACAGATATTTCTGAATGAAATCATTCAATCATCTAAAAAATGTATAAATTATTGGCATTAACCAAAAACATCCCAGGACATCTCTTTTCCCTGCATTTAGCTGACAGTATTGTTATTGTTAATAATGATAAAACATCTGTGCCATCTTAATTGTCTTTCTGAAAGGTGACACTTTGGGAAATATTTCCTACCACATGGTAATGGTATGCTAGTTTTCTTCTTTTGTATTCTCTCACTACAATTCCCATGACTCACTGTTTGGCTCATCATTTTGGTGACACTTAAATCGAAATGACATTACATATATGCTCGGAATTCAAAGCATAATTAGTACAATATATATAAGATGCTATCATTTGCTTCATCACATCACTGAAATTAAGATGATGTTCTTTTTATTGCAACATGTTGTAGGATGGTTTTCTCCAGACAGAAAAAAAATTATTGCAAAAGGACAAAAGCTGTTTGTAAAAAAGAAATTTTCCTGAGTAGGAAGGCTGAGAGGGGAAGGGAAAGCTATATAATAAATTGCCATGGTGCTTGCAGTTGACACAAATTTTAGTTTGCATTGTAGGAGATTCCTATAGAAACAGAATGTTGGTGATATAAGGGTCAGCATGGCTTTTACATTTAACCAGGAATTTCCTTTCAAAGATGCATGAAGCAGATAACTGTGATGGCAAACAAACGTGATATTTTATCTTCGGCAATTACACTGTGGTTGCCTACTCTAATGGTTAAGGTCACCATGATTCTATTTTCTGGATAACATGACAATTCATTACCCAATGGCCACATATTGTAACAACTTAGAACAGGATTATAACACTAGTTGTTATGGCAAGTACACTTAAGCAAAAAACGTATAATTCCCTCCTACCTGCGGCTTAATAGATTAACCAAAAACAGCATTTTCTTTATATCAAGTCACTTTGCAGGGAAATCTGCGGTACAGCATAATATATATCAAAACCATTATGATGATCATAGTAAATTTTTGCATCATGATGAGTACTGTTCCTCAGTGCAGCAGACAGCAGGACCTTATAATGGCAAGGTCAATACACTTATATATTTAGAAACTTACCTGGGATTCCCCCTTAGTGCAGCATGATGTAGAGCATTAAAACCATTGTTATTTGTAACAGTAAGGTCAGCATGATGTTCTAACAACAATTGGATCATGTCATCTCTCTTTTTACTGATAGCATCATGTAGTGGTGTATCTCCTTCTGAGTCCTTATAAAAAAATCATAAATATAAAATTTAATAAATTCAGTTGGATATTTTTCTTTAAACAGTTAAATGATGGTATTTTGTGGTGTAAAATCATGATCATATTCACAGGGAACAATTGTTTGGGATGGATCAAAACATTATTCTAACTCTGATTAAACACATTCTTGCTTTTACTCCTAAATACTGCATGCTAAACAGTGATGCAGCCAATTTTTTTTTAAAGCGTTTGGTTTATTTCGAGTGGGGATAAAACTAAAAAACTTCAATTGCTCGAGGGGAGCAAAGTTTTAACAGTGTTCTGGCCATGGCCTTTAAGCATCATGGTAATGTTTTGCTATCTGAAATGATTTCTTATAGATTGTGTTATGGATGTGATGCTATAATTTCTAGAAATATGATGGTTCTTCAAAACTCCCTATTTACCAGAATGCTACATGAAATTTGTTGGTGAGAAAGCTGGTTTAGAAATACCAGGGAGGAGGTTGAAAAATGTGAGAAGTACTGACAAATTCTATAGAATCATATATGAAATAAGCCTGCATTGGATGTTGTTGAAGGTAAAATAACTAAAGATATTTGACTTCTTTACCATTGATACCTAGTTAGTGACTGTCCAGACTTTCAATGAAAATCAAGAAGGGCATACCAAAAGAATGGGTAAGACTTCACAGCATTTTCTAATCTAAAGATCCTCTGTGCAATTGCAACACAATGTTATGATAATCAATTTCAAAAGACAACATACCGGGTAACTGTTTTGATTTTCTGCCAAAGCTAACATTCATCAGAAATAGTGTTATGAAGTATAATAATTTAGGCATTTAGCACTATAATCAAATTAGCATAATTAAACACATAATAAACATAAATGTTGTTTTCTATATATACACAGGAATTTAATGGAATTTGATATAGTTTCAGAATATTGTGCAAGGGGATTGAAACATCATTGCATTTTATTTGAAGTAATACTTTTTTTATAGCACAAGCAAAGTTTATCTGTTGCTTAAGTGTTGTTGCAGAAAAGGTATTTATATCAAACTATTAAGCACATGTATAAAAGAAATAACTCAGTAGGAACAACTTTGAAAGTCTTTGAAAGGGGAAGAAGAGAAGTTGCATGCAATGCAGATTGTAATGTATTCACCCACTTGTTTGTTATATATTGATGAAAATTTCATTGCTAAGTGGGTATAACAAAAAAATCCACTTATAAGGAAGTGACTACCGGGCATATATTAAAATCACTTACAGGGTTCAACTCTACATTTTATAGTCCCAGACCAACCTCAATACAAAGCTCACTTACAGGGTTCAACTCTATATTTTATAGTCCTAGACCAACCTCAATACAAAGCTGACTTACAGGGTTTAAGAGTTGTCTCATTGGCACTCATACCACATCTTCTTATATCTATTTAACCTATATTTTATAGTCCCAGACCAACCTCAATACAAAGCTGACTTACTGGGTTCAACTCTACATTTTATAGTCCCAGACCAACCTCAATACAAAGCTGACGTACGGGGTTTAACCCTACATTTTATAGTCCCAGACCAACCTCAATACAAAGCTCACTTACAGGTTCAATTCTATTTTATAGTCCCAGACCAACCTCAATACAAAGCTGACTTACAGGGTTTAACCCTACATTTTATGGTCCCAGACCAACCTCAATACAAAGCTGACTTACAGGGTTTAACCCTACATTTTATAGTCCCAGACCAACCTCAATACAAAGCTGACTTACAGGGTTTAAGAGTTGTCTCATTGGCACTCATACCACATCTTCTTATATCTATTTAACCTATATTTTATAGTCCCAGACCAACCTCAATACAAAGCTGACTTACTGGGTTCAACTCTACATTTTATAGTCCCAGACCAACCTCAATACAAAGCTGACGTACGGGGTTTAACCCTACATTTTATAGTCCCAGACCAACCTCAATACAAAGCTCACTTACAGGGTTCAATTCTATTTTATAGTCCCAGACCAACCTCAATACAAAGCTGACTTACAGGGTTTAACCCTACATTTTATGGTCCCAGACCAACCTCAATACAAAGCTGACTTACAGGGTTTAACCCTACATTATATAGTCCCAGACCAACCTCAATACAAAAGCTGAGTAATATGTAATGTAAGTTATGGAGTGATGAAAGGAAAGAGGAAAAGACTAGTTGAGGAATGGATGGTTATATGCATTGACAGACGGAGGAACAGACATACAGACAAGGGGATTGCTGTATACACATCACTCCATGAGTGGGAGGTATTTTAATAACTATACTTCTTTATTAAAAAGCTATCTAAAGTTAAAATATCACCAGGATTAGAAAGGTTTTCTTCAATCAGCCTCTTTAAATAGCATTTTGTATTGAAATTCATATTTCTAAAAATATCATAACTATGACGTGCTTTTCTCCTCTACTCATTCCAAAGGTAAAAACATTTATTACAGATTTATTTTTGACAGTGAATAAAAACAGACCATCAATATGTATTTTAATCATTCTTGTAAGCTTTAACAAGAAGTTTTTCGAGCCTCAGAGGAGGTGAGTGAGGAAAAGGACATTTGAATGAAAATAACACTTTATAAACTGAGTGCATGCAAAGCCTCTTTCTGGGGGGGGGAGATCAGGAACGCTCAAAGTCAAAACTTTAAAAACCAAGGATGCATAACTTAGTGAATACATGAGGAGCCTATGACCACAAGGGAAACTGTCAACTGTTAGCAAATAAGATAACATGAACATTACATGCAGTGCTGTCAAATATGCTTATTTAGCACTTTGTGATTAAGATGTTTATGACATAGCTAGAGGAGATAAGTGCCACACAGAAACTTCACTGAAAGTCAAGTCAAGGACATCAAATCAGACAGACATATTAAAGTAAGAGAATGACCAAGGTAATCTTGTCTCAACAAAATAAAGCTCTTACAAATGCTTAAAAAAAAGAAAAATGTCAAGGTCAAGATGATAATGCAAAGCTTAAGTCTGTTTTTGTAGCATCTTAAATATTTTTATATTGTACTTCAAACACTTTTCTTCAGACTTAAAATACAAAAAAGGATATACAGGTTCATACATACACAATCTTATTTTTAAGGGAGAAAAATTCAAAAACGGCTAAATAAACCAATTTTAGAATTACTGTGCATTAATTTCATTCCATGGCTTGAAAAGGTTTCTCTTTGAAAATAATTTCATGATATTTACTTTTATAATTTGCACTTTTCAAAGCAACACACATATGTATTGAATTGAGAAATTAATTTCAGGTTTGCATGTGACAAGGAAAAATCAATATGTAATAATAATGTTGTAAATATTACCACATCCAAGATATTTTTTAACATCTTATCTTTAATGATGGCCATCTTGAATAATGACTAGGCCATCAAATAATTATTCCATAAAGAAACCAACTTGGGACTATTTTTCAATTTTGACCCAAATAGAAAAAGAACACTTAGATATATTAAAGTTTTATCTGTATGTTCAATTCAAAATAACATTTGTGACTAAGTGTCACCAAAAACAATTCTGAGCATATGCAAAAGCCATTTTTTTTTCTAAATAAATTTGGTCCAAACTGCCAGAATGTTTAAACTATCTGTATAAATTCTAATATTTTATATTTATACACCTTTCCCTGATGACTGGATTAATCTAGGGAAATTTTTAAGGAGATTGCCAAATGACCATTATATCAGCTAATTACAGTAGTTTGAATATTCAGTGCACATAAAATTATCATTAGAAACATTTAACCTTTGTAATCTATTCCATGTAATGGCAGCCATAAAAGTCAACTAGGAATGAAATATTTGAGTATATTGATTGATTGATTGTTGGTATTTAATGCCACTTTTAGCACTTGGCTATATCGTAGCAGTCAGATTTATTGGTCGAGGAACCAGGAGTGCCGGAGAGAACCAATGACCTTCGTCAGGTAAACTGACAATTCTATTCATTTAAGATTGTAGTCGACACACCTGCAATGTGAGGAGTTAACCTCAGTGTTGACTAAGATCACTCAGTCACCGAGGCCCTGATATAAATTGGAAAGAGGTCTGCAATGATAAATTTGATCAGTTTGGTTGAATTTGGTGAGTAATCTCAAAGGTAAACCTTTCTTTTTTTCATTTGAAAGACAGCTAAATACCACTAAATAAAAGAAGACTGTGTCTGAGGATAGAAATGCCCCCCCCCCCCCCCCCCCCCAAGCTTAGTAATTTTCCAAGTTAACAAGGGCAAAACTCTAGAATCTAGAATGGTAAATGACTCACTGCCCAAATTCGAACTGTCTGCGAGTTTTGGTTCCTTAACATTGCATTGTGTATGAGTTTCATTAAATTTGGATGAGAAAAATTCAAGTTAGAGTATGGAAACAAAAATGGGACAGACAGAAGGATGGACGGTCAAGGGTAATTCTTAATGCCCCCATTGCCTACGGCAGGGGCATAAAAATTTAACTTCGCAACTACAAACTTAAGATTTCATTTAGACATTAATTGGACTTTAAAATTCCCCAAAATATCAATTTTGTGAACTTGAATAAAGTTTGTTCAATTCCAAGTTCTTTCTAACGATTTTTTCATTCCCGAACAGATTTTTCTAATTGCGATCTCAATAGTGCTAAACGAAAATCTTTGACAATTGTTATTAATGTCTATTAATGATGATCTTCTTTGCAAAGATGTTCAGCAACAGGAAATACAAGGCAAAAAACAATCAAGGAACAGGGGTCTCAACAAATAGATTCTTCATTCAACCATAAAACAAAATTTGCAAGAGACACAGAGTACTATGAATCTCAACCTGAAAGCAATGTGAACAACAAAGACCAATTCACCCTGTCACCCAGGTTAGGCAGTGTTTAGGCAATTACTGTAGGATAAAACGAGTAGAGCCTGAAAGACAACACAAGGTTGTTATTTCAAATTTATTCAATAATCTATTATAGCTTTTAAGGTATCAGGCAAAAACC